AAAATGGTTCATTTAATTACCTTATCAATTAATCCGCTCAGGGAAATTCATTTCATTATAATGAAGTGTAAATCCGACACCTGAAGATAGCCTTGATTATGATGATGAGTGTCAAGTGCTTCCATAACTAAACCGGCATGTTCTTCTGCTTCCTCATGAGTTACTGACAACTTATTTGCAGTAGCACTCATCAAAATTGTCTGCAAAATTTTGCCAACAGAGTTATTAGCATCAATGAAAGAAACAAACATTTTCAGGATTTGTTCAACCAACCTGCTTAATATCCACTTCTGTGATTCTTCCATCCATATTTCTATCAATCCTGAAGCATAATATTAAACTTCAATCAGAAAAGATTTAACAAAATGATTCAAATTATAAAACAAAATGGAGGTCCATGGTGATTAATTACATGTCAAAGAATAATTGTATTCTATAGTTTATAGAAGGGTCAGTCATGCGAAGCCAGTAGCGATGAAGTTCCTTCTTTGTAATATCAACTTTACACTCTCTTCTTCCTCTTAATGCCTTCAGAATTTCATTAGAAATTTCTGGTGATCTTTGTATCCCTGCAACATGAATAAAAATTACATGCTATTTAATTTACATTTATTAATAAAAAAAATTCATATTGTAATGTTTTAGATGACAAGGTGTCAAGAAAAATCAGGCTGATCTTCTTGAGGCATACGTTACATTCCCCTGGAAGACGGTGCCGCTTTTGTGCCGACAATTTAACATTCATTTCCTGACACTCTGGCTTACCTACGCAGTAACCAAAATCCGACCATTTGACCACGGGTTCAGGCACATTCCGGGTTGAAGCAAGGCGGTCGAAACGGTGTTCAACGGTGGTCCAGTCGAGCTCTGTAAAAGTGAGTCCAGTGACACCGAACCCGGCCACTGAAGAGTAGTGATCCTGATCCCCATTAGGCTCCACGTGTCTCCATGGCGGTCCCGCTGTTAGAGCCGGAGAGAAAGAGAAAGGGACACTGCAAGAGGAAGAAGTAGAAGAAAACGAAGAGGAAGTTGAAAGAGCTGAATGATCATCATCATAATGTTCTCGCTCTGCTTCCAACTCCGCATGCATTTTTTTTTCTTCAATAATGCATTTTTTCTCTGTTTGGTGATAGGTATATTATTTGTGAAGAGTATAGTTGAGTGGTTGAGTGTTCTGGAAAAAGAAAGCTTAATTAAGTAAAATGAATTTGGTTTGGTAGATAAGAAATAATAAAAGATAAGTAGCTATGGTTTTGTTAGAAACCGAGAGAGAAGGTAAAGTGAGAGCAGGTGGAAGATAGCTAGGGGGGAGTAATTCATGAAAATGTGACAAAATCTAGTCAAAACTCTTTCTTGCTCATTCGGGTAATGAGCTGTTTTTGGTTTGAATTAATGTAACTCTTTATAAATTAATTAAATTTTCTGGGTGTGCAAGCATGCGTGTCTCTGCAGATTATTCCGTGCATGGATAGTTGTTAGAAAGCTTCTGGTCCTTGTTTTATAATGAAGAAAATTGGGGTTTTGTGAGAGAAAAGGCTAGGGATACACTGCTGTTAGTTTTTAGAATAACTAATTTATTATTAATGATCTAATATCAATATATTACTTATGCCAAAATTTATCTCAAATTTCAGGGAGAACAACATTTTCCACCCAAGGTTTGGTGAAACAACCCTTTCCCACATTGCCAAGTTTCAAAATGACACTTTCCCACTCATTGTTTGTTAACTTTAACTTAAGAAGGACGTAATGGTAAATTTAAAAACAGTCAAAGGTAATTATGTCATTTTATCTCTGGAAAAAAAAAAAGAGCAAAAACCTTGAATTCAAACACTTTTACTTTCTTCGCCACCCCACCGCCCCAAAATCCTTCACCCCCACCAATTGGCCAAAATCGCAATCAGCCCAGTGCGATCCGACCGAATTGCATTTGACCAAATTCAAACCTTGATTTGGTGTTATATTGTTGTTATTTGGGATAATGGGTTGTTTTTTTTTTTGTGTATTTAATTGTTGTGGAAATTGATGGGATCGGAGAAGGGATGGTAAAAACGAAATCGCACCAGATTTGCGTTGATTTAGTAGGGTGCGATTCCAACCGATTCGCACCTAGTCGAGTGCGATTTCGGCCAATTAGTGTGAGAAGATTTCGTGCATTGATTTGTGTGAGAAGATTGTGGTGAGAAGGCTAGGTATGATTCCGACTGATTCGCATTTGGTCAGGTGCGATTAGGTCGAAATTGCACACGCCAAGTAGGAATCTACTGAAATTGTTTTGTGTGATTTCGGCCAACTATTTTTTTCTTCCTGTTTTTTAATTTTTCTTTTATTTGGATGATGTTGTTGTGTGTTGATTTGGATAAAAGTGGAGATTTTGTGTGTTGATTTGTGTGAGAAGGCTGGGTGCAATTCTGACTAATTCGTGCCGGACCTAGTGCAATTCTACCATAATCATTGGATGCGACTCCGACCGAATCGTTGGGTATGGATTTGAATTTGGATTCAAACAATAAGGGTATTTTCTTCTTTATACTGACTATATTATTTCAGTTAACAGATTTTACTAATGGATGAGTGGAAAAGCGTCGTTTTAAAACTTGGCGTGTGGGATAGTGTCGCTTCACCAAACCTTGGGTGGGAAAATTTTTTTCTCCCCAAATTTCACATCTCAACATAAATGTCATTTATATTGACACGTAAATAAAAATGATGCTACATTAAATAATATCTCAATACCATATAAGGTGACAATCATTTGAGATATGAAATTTGGAATAAGTATTATTATTCTTAATATACTCTCCCTGCATCAAGTCTTATATATCAAAGTCTTCTTCTTCTTTGAAGTTATACACAAATAATAAGGTAACTGAAATTGACATTAATTGAGCACCATTAATTTGAGAGTTTGTGATATTTTTGTTATCTTCATGTAAAACACATAAATAGATTTTAAATAATAAGTTGCCATGTGTAAATTTCTTTAAATAGTATTTAATTAATATATTAATTATTGTTTTAAGTTTTGGGAAATTGTCGATTTGAAAATAATATTTTGTGAAATTAAAAAAAAGACACAAGTTTTAAAATAACTTAAAAGGGACAGAACTTTGTTAGTAACCGTTAAATCTAACGAATAAAATTAAAAGACTTAAATATCTATATACTAATATTTACAGAAAATATATTTAAAAAAATAAAACTATAAGAAAAAGTGAAAAAAACCAGCTAAATTAAAAAATAATTTAATTAAACCAAGGAATTTAAAAAATAAAAAACCGTAAATAATAAAAAAACCAAACTAAAAAATAAGTAAAAATTGAAAGGTATAAAAAAAAAATAAATAAAAAATAAAAAAATAAAAATTAGCCACTTATGGTAGGCCACCGCCGTTGGTGACAAACTAGGTGCAAAGTAGCGGTGAAAGACTTAGGACCTTTACCTTATACCTATGCAAATTAGAGAGACAAAAGCTTGGCTAGTGAAACAAAAGTTCTAAAGGCAATGGTACACTGATTAATGCATCTATAGAGGAATTGCCCTCTGAACTATCTGTTTATGAGATGTATGGCGCGAATATATATAATAATCAGGGTATTCGGATCAATTTACGTGTATCTCAATTAATCTCCAAGATTCATTGAATACCCTATAAATCTAAAGGACTAGATAATCTATAATGTTATGGTGATAAGTAGCCTCAAGGTTTGAACCCAAGAACTCAGGAAAGTAAACAAATCTCTTTAACTGTCAGGCCATCCCTTGAGGTTGTATGCTACTATCTGACATGAGCGAAAACCAGTGGCAGATTTACTTAATGACGAGTGGGGACCATGGCCCCCACTCAAACTTTAAAAAACTTCGATGGTATAAATATTTATATTTAGTTGTATTTTACCCCCTATAAGACTTTGACATTTTGCCCTTACAAATTTTTTTTGTTTATTTTTTGCCCCCATCAAGTGAAATTCCTGGACCCGCTACTGGCGAAAACCCTAATACATTCTCCCCCCCTTCCCTTTTTCTTTTTTAATCATTACAATTTTTTTTAATTATTATTTTAATATAAGGGTATTTTTTAAACTAAAACTTTTAAGATAATATAAAATTATAAAATATTATGTACTTATCCAATACCATTTTTATCCTTACAAAATGTTAAATCTCACCATCTCTAGCATCTTTTTGTCCTTTTTAAAGTTATAATTTTGTAAAAATTTTATTTTTCTAACATTTTCCCATAAAAAGATAAAACCCATCATCATTATAGTTTGGGTTATAAATTATGATTCAATTTGGACTATGGAGGAAACGTGATGGAAAGATATTAAAAAAATAACCATTAGTGGGTACCCACGGTAAAAGAGCAAAAAAAGCTTCGCGAGCTTTTGAGTTCAAGTGTCCACAGGCACTAATAGCGATGATCACTAAAGGGTTTACTTAGTCGTCAACTTCAAGACCCTGAAAAATTAGTTGAGGGGTCCTAATAGTGGTGACCACTGAGGGGTTTACCTGGTCGTCAACTTCAAGACTTTAGAGGATTAGTTGAGATGCACACAAACTGGTTCGGACACTCTCAATCACCAAAAAATAAAAAGATATTAACAAAACAAAAAAAGAAGAAGAAAATGACATAAAATAAGTATTGCGTTATTTATAGCATTAGGGATTAATAAATTATCAAAATATATTTATTTAAAAAGAAAAAAAAATAATACTAAAAAGGGCTACTAATGATAGGGACTAGAGTTTTTTTAAATAAATTCAAACTTTATCAGAGTTTTTTACAATTAATCCAAATTATAAGGACCGTAAAAAATTACACTACTCGAGTAGTTATCTCTAACCTTACCAACCCCATGGGTATGTGTGCAAAAAAAGTAAATATTTGGTGTAATTAGTAATATTTAAATTCGCACTGCGCAAATACCATCTTCTTGGAGGCACTCTTTTAAAATTTTACTACACATACAATAAACACTCTCCATTAATATAAAGGTGGGATCTTTGCAAGTTTTCACCAAACATAGGAGAAGCTGCAACGCAAAGTAAAGCGAATCTTCAGTTGCGAGAAATAGCAGAAGCAGATCTAAGCTTACAACACCAACTACTATTTTAACATTAACAGATCTTGGCTTGCGTACGAAGTGGTAATAATCTTTTTCTTTCTTCTAAATTTTAAAATTTTTTTTTCCTTTTCGTTTCGGCTTTATGTGTAAATGGTTTGGCCGCTTTTTTGTTCTGTTGCTGTTGTTTGGTTCGTGAGAAAACGTTGGCAATAGAAATGGAATTGATTTTTCTTTCTGGGTTGTTCTTTTCAGGGCCTAGAATGACTAAAACTATCTTTTTCTTTGGTCCCATTTTCTTTTCTTTTCTATGGCTTTCTTAGCTGTCAAATAGAGGATATGTGTGTTTTTCTACATTATAGCATTTCTCATAGATTTAGAACGAGTGTGAATTATGAATGAGTCACCAAATTCATATTGCTTTTGGTTCTATTTTATATGTTTACGTTTATGTGTTAATTGTTGGTTTTGTTTTTTTTTGTTTCTGATATATAAGCTGTTGTGTTTTAGTTTATGTAGATTGTTTTTTATTGGATAGTTTGTACTCAAATCATTTGATTTTAGAAGATTTCTCATTTTCATTTTTGATTTATGGGAGGCAGATATTTTGATGGAAGGATTGGTGAATTCACGTACTACCTCAATTGGTCCTCAGTATAGGCAACAGCACTATCTTTCTGTTCCCCCGTTTTCATTGCAATTGACTAAGAATTTGAATAGAAGTCGAATTTCTTTTATGAATAATCATCCTAAATCATTCACTTCAGTTGCTGCTTCGGTTCAACCAGTAGAAGCCTCAACATTGAATCGCTTCAATAACACACTGCCTTCCCAAGGTTATCATCAGTTCCTTATGAAATATATTCTATACGTTTCAATTGTTTGATATTTTGGTTTGAGTACGAAGAAAAAGAATGGCATTCTTGTGGAATTTAACATAGTATTGTTCAAAGAATTTATAAACCCAATTGGCTCACCCAGAAGCTTAGCATTCTATATCATGTTACAGGTTTCTAGTTCCTTAAATTTAAATAAAAAAAGTGTGTTGTGGTGGTTGATATTGCAAGATTGTTTTACTTTTGTTGATGGTTGCTTTCTTAAATTTATAGAGGTTCTTGATTTGTGGAGAAAGACTGATGCGGTGTGCTTTGATGTGGATAGCACGGTATGCCTAGATGAGGGCATTGATGAACTTGCAGAATTTTGTGGAGCAGGAAAGGCTGTTGCTGAATGGACTGCAAGGTTGGGGGTTCCTTTTGTTTGTTGCAGATGATTCATGATTGATATTCTTGGGTGTTCATACTGACTTCAATTTTTTTATTTTGCAGGGCAATGGGTGGTTCTGTTCCTTTTGAGGAGGCCTTAGCTGCCAGACTTTCTTTGTTCAAACCTTCATCATCCCAAGTTCAGGATTTTGTTGAGAAGAGGCCCCCAAAGTATGTTTACTGCTGATTAACCTGGTTAATGCCATTTTTTTCTTTGTCCGTGGGTTGGAGCCCAGGTTGTGTAGGGGATGTTGTGGTGGTCAGCTTGATTAGGTTAACTAGCTTATGGTATTTTACATGGAAGTTGAAGACTTGAGCTAGAATACAAATTCCTTTAGTGCTCTAGTACCTTGTATTGCATGAAAAGATTACCATCCTGTGGCATAGAGTTGTTCCCTTCAGTTCATGCAACATAACGTATCTCTGCATTGCATTGGGATGTGTTATTCTTCTTCTTTCTTTTTTCTTTTTCCTCCACAATCACATTTTTTACTTACACTTCTATGTTGCCAAATTTGAAATTTGTTTGCTGGATTATGCGTTGCTTTATATTTGAATTCTCGAAAAGATTTCATTTGGAATTTTATGCATCAGAGGACCCTTTTCTTTTTCCTGTTACAGGATATATTCCTGATAACATTTAATTCCTTTTTAATAATTAATGGCTAGGTACTAAGAATGCTGATGTGGAAATTTTTCATATTTTGTTTTAATTATCAAGATCTTTCTGTGAGGCTGATCTTTATACTGATTCTTGTTAGAATAGCTGATGCCAGCGAATTTGTTTCATTTTAATACCTTGGTCTGCTTAATTAACTATATCACAATCATTTTTAAAAAAAGTTTTCCTTCAGCTGTTATTTCAACTAATGCCATTCTTTTTACAACCAGGCACCATCACTTTACTTCTTTTTCAGCAAGGCCCTTGTTATTTCAAGATTTAATGTGTGAAGCCGATATTTTTAGATGACCTAACTAGTGTAGCTTATGTTACTATCTTTCTTCTTTTAGATTGGCCCCACTTTTTCATTCTGTTGTTACATAATAAAATAAGTATTATCAGTAAATTTATCATGTAACTAGTTATTACGATCCTCAACTAAGGTATTATGTGGTGGCGTTGCTGAAGTTTTTTAAGTAAAAGTTTTCAGTTTCAGCCATTCTTCCTTAATTTCCTTTATAGTGGGCAATAGTCATTTACTACGTCATTCAAACCCTATGTCTCGCAGTTTAAGAGGGTAAGGGCTGATTTTATGACTAGTTTTGCTTAATAATACTGTCTCAACATTCTTTGAATCATGAATACTTTTAAAAAGGAGGAACTAGGAAATAGATGAGGCATTCTAGAATGTTTATCATCCACCAACTTATCATGCTATTTGGTTATTCTTTACTTTGATGATACATGATTTTGTGATTCTTGTTACAACTATTTATTTTCTTGTGTTCTTTCCTTTTTCTCTTTTTGGCAACAAAAAGAATGATAGTATTTTCATGAGTGTTAAATAATGCTATTTATTTTCTTTTTCAATGTTTAGACTTTCTCCTGGCATAGACGAGTTGGTCAAGAAGCTGAAGGCTAATAACATCAATGTTTATCTGATCTCTGGAGGGTTCCGTCAAATGATCAATGTAAGCAACTGATAATAGGTTTCTGTTGAACATTCATCAGGATTTTCATTTGTTCTGCACTTAGCTGTTTCTAAACAACTTTTATTCAAAAACGAAGTTAGAGAAAATGGTTGTAGTAATTGTTAATACTGGATAATGGGTCTTTAAAACTTGAAATTACTCTTGTCAAATATAATTAGATATTGTATTGGCAAAGTCTTAATGAAGATAGTGTAATCCAGGCAACATGCTAAAGATTTTCAAGTCTGGAATGTCTAAATTTGAGAAAACTGCTTTTTAAAATTTTGAGATCTTGAATTGCAATCTTCTAAAGTTGGGATGGTAAAGAAACACATGCCGTGTTTTGTATAGGTGGAACTCTTATATAGCATATACATTCTATGTTGACAAGGGACATAAATTAGACAGCACTGCTGTCATTGCAATTTTCTTTTTTACTTTTTGCTCAATTTGTGTCTGAGCTTTCAGCACCTGACTAATTGAGGACTTATTGCATAGATTCTTAATTGAGTATTTTCCTTTGAAGCCTGTTGCATCAGTACTTGGGATTCCACCTGAAAATATTTTCGCTAATCAACTGCTGTTCAAGAGTTCTGGAGAATTTCTGGGTTTTGACGCCAACGAGCCTACTTCAAGGAGTGGTGGAAAAGCCGTTGCAGTGCAACAAATAAGGAAGGTCAGTCTCATAGCTGTGTTGTTTATGTCTGGTTGCTGAATTTGTTGCTAGCAAAGTTAATAATATTTGGTTGTTTCAGGCTTATGGATACCAGGCACTAGTCATGATTGGAGATGGTGCTACTGATCTTGAGGTTAGCAAATTCATCTGAACTTCTTAAAAGTGAACTTAAAATTGTTGGGGATGTTGCTATCAGAGTTGATAGTTATATTGGTTTCTTTCTCTCTTTTATTTCTTTTCACTCACACTATGGATTGATTTTTGGGTCAATGTTTCTGAAATTATGGCTTAAATGGACCACTTTGGTGTGTTGAAAAAGCAGAAACAGAGCCTACAAAATTACAATGATCAATTGCTGTCTGTCCACATAGTTGGCGAAAATTGTGATGATAAATTGCTGTATGTTACCGTAGTTGAATTTTTTTATTAACTTTTTTTCAAGCCGGAGTGTGTGAAACAAAGAACTACAATTTTCATAGTACTATTTTCTGCATACTTTAGCATGGAGTTCCCTCCCTTTCTAATTTTCATGTTCTTTTTTATATTTAGGCTCGTCAACCGGGAGGTGCTGACATATTTATTTGTTATGCCGGTGTACAACTTCGTGAGGCCGTGGCTGCAAAAGCTGATTGGCTGGTGTTCAACTTCAAAGATTTGATAAATTCCTTGAACTAGCTTTGTCTTCTCTGAAATCATGTTAACTATATACTGTATAATCTTTATTATAAGGCCATAGCAGCTCCTGCGTTATTAACTAGTATTCTTTCTGTTGTCGCGGCGTTGGGAAAACCATGTAAAAACTGAAATTGAAATATGAATGAAGAGTGTGCAATTGCTATTCTATTTGTCCTGTAAATACAAAATGAATACTTCTTATCTTCTCTGGTCAAGTTTCCTTTTTCTTTGGCGGAGTTACCAATTATATGCTAATACTTGTGATAATATGAAGAACACTAAAATATTTTGATTCTTAGAATAAGTTCTCATATAATTTCAAATGATAGTTTAAATTCTCAGCAGAAATAATTTACAGTAGTATAAATGAATATTATCACTATCTATGTATCAATTTCATTAAAAATCCGAGCAGTTTCTTCCTTCCCCATCAATTCAACTTTAGTAACTTGTACAGCAAGCAATATCTTGAACTCTTCCTTCCCTTCACTTTTTGCCACTGTTTCTGCAACGATTTCTGTCATCTCGGCCCTCACGAACTCACCAACATCAGGATCAAGATTCAAACTGGAGACCATGTTTTTAATGTAAACAGTTCTTGAAAGCGGAGTAGGAAACTGTAAAGGAATGTTCAACACAAAGTGGAACTCTGGACTAGTAATGTCTTCAAGAAGAACAACATCATCTTCCTTGGGTTTGCACTTGAGTAGATATCTTTCTTTAATAAGCAATTCAAAGGAGCCTGAAGGGTTTGAAGACGGGTTGGTGTTGGCTGGGTTTCTTGAAATGGAATTGTAGAGATTTGAAGCACATTGAACTACCATTAGAGACATTGGAGAGAGCTTGGGGTTTGTGAAAGAGAATGAAACTTAATGTTGATGTAAAGAATAATGAAGTGAAATCAAGTGAAGAAGTAAAGTATATTTATAAACAAGAGCTTGGATTCCAAATTTTACAACGATTAGTAAACTTGAGTAATTCTCATATTCTATTTGTGGGTAGGATAAGGAAGATTCCTAAAGGAACACTAAATCTACAGGATTTGGAAAACTAGTACATTTTAAAGAACCGATAATAAAAGGAATTAATTTTAGTATTGCAATCCATGTAAAACACAACTGAATAATTCAACATAATCAAGTTACCTCACACCCTTATATTGTATCAAATGCAGTTTGTGTAATTTTTCTTTCTGTTTTTAAGAAAAAATATCCTCTGAATAACAATACTTCAATTAGAAAAATATTAAAAGTGGTATTTTGAAGGTAGATAAGAGTTCATTATCTTTTCAAATTCTATTTAAATTAAATATATTTAAGCTTATTGATGCTGCAATTTGTACCAACAAGAAGTCCGTGATGGAATCTACGTAAAAGTTTGTATAAAACTTGCGATTTCAATGTTGAATTGATTGATGAATAAGAAATTAAACAATGACAGAAGGAAACAATTTCTAAAATGGTTCAGATGTTAAGTGCAAATGTTTTGTCCATTATTCTTGTATTGTTTCTATGCACAAGTATAACTTATGAAATATTAATCAAAATCAAACCCCTAATTTGAATGAAAAGTAAGCTTATATACTATTGCAATAACAAATTTGTAAATAAAGTTAACCTAAAAGAACGACACGTGGTGTGAATTCATGCGAATTTATCGCACGACAGAACTCATTTTTAAAATTTAATAGCGTTAATTCTTAGAAATAGAAATTTATGCTGGAGTAATGTACAAGCTCGTTCATTTATTTATTCAATATATAGCCCCTTACCCCGATATTAATAACAAACTTGAGGGTAATTTTGTATTATTATAAACTTAAGGGATTCCAATGATATATTCAACTGTTAAGACAGTTCAGTTTAACTTGAACAAGAATCAGAACGTTGCTTTATTATCCTACAAAGAATAGGAGAAAGTTAATACTGATTCTTCTGCAAATTCTTCTTTTATAAATTCTTTCTTGTTAAGCTCATCAAAATGCATTCTTCATTTCATTCTTTGCTGTAAAACCAAGCTCTATCTCTGTCTCTCTCTCTCTCTCAAATAACTGACCACAACGTCTCTAATGGCAGTTCACTGTGCTTCCAAGCTTTAATATTCCAATTCAAGAACACAAACCGATACCGACCCATCTTCAAACCCTTCAGGCTCCTTTGAAGTTCGTGTTAAAGAAAGATATATTCTGAAGTTTCAATCAGACGATGGTGTTGAAGTTGTTCTTGAAGACATTACTAGTCCAGAATTCCGCTTCGTATTGAGCATTCCTCTACACTTTCCTTCGCCGCAAGCAAGAACGGTGTACATTAAATACATTGTTTCGAGTTTGAATCTGGATCCTCGTGTTTATGAGTTGGTGAGTGGTGAGATGACAGAAGTTGTTGCGGAAACATTGGCAAAAACAAAGGGGAAAGAAGATGCTTGCCGTACAAGTTACCAAAGTTGAATTGATAAGGAAGGAGGAAACTGCTTGGATTTTTAAATAAATTGTTGGAGTTTAATTGATACAACATTGTTTCATATATTAATTGTTGTGGTTCTTGTTTTTGTTTCCTATAAACAAGTGATTTACATTTAGAACATTGGTTCTCGTCATACATCAAAAAACTAAGCACTACACGTTTATTTTGCAATTGAATTAGATTTTGTTTAGTACTAGGATTTAGTTGCTATTTCGGTTCAATCTGTCAAGTTAATAGTACGTTGACAAACATTTCTTATTAACTTTTTTTTCACAACCGCGATATATCAATTAATAATGGGTTTTCCCTGACCAAATGCGAACTGTCACGTCACGTTTGTGAAAGAAAGTTGTGAGAAGTATTTGTCATTGGAGTTTCAACAATCACAATTTGGGTTTGATTAAAGAGTTTATAAATGTGTCTTTTTTTTTTTTTTTTTTTTGTAACCGTCGTGTCCGAGCTAGCTTGCGCGTACCTTAACTAATTTTTGGAGTCTTACAAATGTAATATGTGATGTCAAGGTGGTTTAAACCCAAAAATTCAACGAAGACCATCAGACCAATCCCTTGTGGTTAAATTTTTTCTTTTTGGTATGTGGGATTGGATTAAATTGAATACATGATGGTTGTTCTATTTCCATGGATATGATATGTTAATGTCACTCAAAAATCACAAATTAACTTCAAATGTATAGTATTACTTATAATCCATAATAGACAAAATATTTTTCTTTTTTAAAATTTCTCCCAAGCTAAAAGATTCAATCTATGAAATAAAGGTCAAAGAAATTTTCATTTCATAAAAGAATTATAATAATATCATCAGCTTAAAGGAATTTTACCATTAATTTAGAGATTTTGTCCCACATCCAGCTTTTATTTATAATCAGAATTACACTTACTACATTTTCGTACAACCTTGATGTGGCAGCTCGCGATTGGTCAGCTCGTAGTGGATCCCATCTACCCAAATGTAAATTGACTAATCGCGAGCTATCACCTCAGGTTGTATAAAAAAGTTTGTATGAAAAAATTGTAAGTATAGTTTTATTGTAAATAGAAACCACCACTGGGTGGTCAAGTGGTCAACTAAGACTCTTTGAGTGTATTATTCAAGAGATCTTAAGTTCGATTCACCTTGACTATTAATAGGGGTGGCTACTAAAGCTCTTACCCATCCAGTAGTTCCAAGGTTCTAGGGGATTCGTTTTGGTGCACGCAACCTGACCCAGACACTCCCGATCATTAAAAAAAAAAAAATAGTAAAAAATGTTAAACTTAACTCTTTTTACTATTGGAAGTTCGACTTCTCCAAAAATATCCCCATTCTAATTTTTAAATTTTAATCATACCCCTTAGAGTCTTAATCTTTATGAGCAATACTATACTTACAACTGAATCATACAACAAAACAAAAAACAAAGGACAAAGTAATTATTTTATATAAATTTTGTACAATTTTTGTCTGATTGTATGACTCAGTTGTAAGCAAATCATTATTGAATCTCTATTAACCTATTTTATTTAGGTTTTTATTTTACATTTATTGTAGCAGACATAGTTGATACACAAAACTAAAAACTAAATCAAATTATTTGCAAAATTAAAATATATTCGTCATATTTTATCAAATTTATAATTTGTAATACAAAGTATAAATATATATCATACTTAACATTACCCAAGATATCTATGTAAAAATGCTAGGTTTCAGATATTTAAAATTTGTAAAAACAAACACTTAATACTTATAATCAGATATTAAAAAACTACAAACAAACATATCATAAATATTTATTTCACTCTTATTCATTTAGATTTATTCAATTGTGAGCACCAATGTTTTGAAACCCGGTCTGGACCGATCAGTTCGAGACTGGGACTTGGCCACTTTGCCAAGTTTCACCTCAGGTCAGTCATTATAGCTAATGATACAGGCCGGGTTTATACTCAGCTCGAACTGGTTGAGGCTCCAATTCCTGATCCAACCAGTCAAACCATCCGATCCGAGCCAAGTCTCAAAACATTGGTTTCCTAATCCTTCTACTATTCAAAATCCAATTTGCTCTTTATAAATACTTTTCTTCTTTAATTAAGTTGATTTCAACTCATCACTCATTAAATAACATTACGTCCCAATGTCTCTTACAAAGCCAACTGATAAGAGCTTGAAAATACATGTTTTGTTAATGATTCAGTTGGATTATTTGTGGGAAAATGTATTTAAATTGTGAAATTTGAGTTAATTATTTCATAAATACCTTTTATGGGATCACACGTGTATTTTGAGTGTTTTCAGGTTATAAATAATATTTGAATGAAGAAAAATGATGTCGATGAAAATTATGACAAGTAGAAACAAATAGTGCAGAATCAGAATTGAAATGAGGAAGTTATGATGCGTTGAAGATGAGACTTAAAACCTGGAAATTCTTTAAGATGAGCATGCCTCAATGTTTTGATCATAACTTGAACTGTAAAAATTGAATTTCAATGATTCTTGTGCTGTTGGAAAACTTATTCAGAGGACTACAAAGTTCGTGTTGATTATTTTGCCAAATTCTAAAGATTCAAAACTCGTGGGACAAAAAGAACGATCATTGTAGCAATCGTTTCTGTCGTTGCAGCAATTGAATGCGGGCTTGATGGGCTGTTTTATTTTCCTAGTCTGAATATGACTTGTCTAAGGCATTTAATTCTTTCCTAATTAACCTCCAAACCTTAGCACTATAAATAAGGGTCTTTAATTAGTTTTTAGGAGGATGAAGAGGAGAAAAGAGCAGTCACTCTTTGGAGATTAGAATTCTGAGAGTTTTGGTTCACAAATTAGAGAAGTTTTTTTATTTTTCTTTCTTGCTCTCATGTTTGCTAATACAATGATTGTTTTTATTACTAAAAGTATGGACTAAATTTATTGTCTAGGGCTAAGATGTAGCCCAATTTTATGAATATGCATTGAATTATTTGTTGTTAATTTTTATCAAGTTTTGTTCTAAGTTTTATAATTGCACTTAATGCTTCAATTCTTAAAGGCCTGAGAGTTGAATGATTTTATGGGTTTGGTTGAGATCGAGAGATGAAACCTAATTAGTCTAAGTTAATAAAACTATAGATTGAGCGAACGCTAGAGATATGTTACCGTGATCTATGAAGCTCTGGTAAATTCTATAGAACTTAATAATTTTTTAACTTCTGAATCCAACTTAGAGATATTTTGGGTTGTTGCTTAAGAGTTAATTTGCTAATTGATCGAGAGAAAGCTAGTGAAATATGAGGGAATTTGGCTTTTAGAATACGTTTGATTAAGTTAGCAATATTTGTCAATGCATAAGATTAAATTGGTATGAAATCAGTACCCTAAGTTTAATATCTTTTTACTAACGTATTAATACAATTCTGCTCTTGTTTTAGTTTTTAGTTTGTTTTATTTTTCATTAAATCATTCTTAAAATTCTGTTTTATCAAATAATAATAAAATAGATTAGTTTGGTACTTAGTAAGTAGTTTTATTGGGATTCGACACTCGATTACTCAAGCCTTATTACTTGTACAATTTCGTATACTTGCGAATAGTCTGTCACCAACCTCTTTCACAAAAACCACCACAATGTCTCTAATCCCAGTTCACTGTGCTTCAAAGCTCTACAATTCCAATTCAAGAAACCCAACCAACACTAACCCATCTTCAAATCCTTCAGGTTCATAGAGTTGCGTCTTAAAGAAAGACATCTTCTCAAGTGTCAACCAGAGGAAGATGTTGATGTTGTTCTTGAAGACATTACTAGTCCAGGGTTCTGCTTTGTATTAAAGATTCCCTTTACGCTTTCACACACTGCTTTCAAGAACATTTTACATTAAAGACACGATTTCAAGTTTAAATCTTGATCCTTATGTCTGTGGGTTCGTGAAGGCCGAGATCACAGAAGTTGCAGAAACACTATCAGGGAAAGAAGAGTTCAAGAAATTGCTTGCTGTACAAGTTACCAAAGTCGAATTAACGGGGAAGGAGGAAACTGCTCAGATTCTATTAAACAAATTAATGGAAGATAGTATGGGTTATAGTTATAGACATAGAGCAAGAAAGTAGTTCTTTCTGTAGTCAAATTGTTTCATATTTTATTTTATACGATTTCTTTTTTTAACTTATAATTAATTGTTGTTGGAGGTGATACTCTTTATTTTAAGAACATTTTTCATATAAATAAAAAACATCTTGTTTAATTTCTAAATATAAATAACAATTTTTTTTATTCAAATCTAATGAACTATTTAAATTTAATGAAAATGCTCTTTATTTTAAAAAAAAATACCTAATATGAGAGAGAATTAATAAATAAAATACATAAAAACTTGTAATTTTTTAGTTAAAACTAGAATAAAGAGTAAAATTTAACTTTTTAGATGTGAAGAGTTAAATTTACTCTTTAATTTTTATTTACAAGATAAAGAATCGGTTAGACTCTTGTTTTTATGGATAGACTCTTTATAATAAAGAGTTTGAGTCATATAAAGAATTATTTAGAGATGCTCTAAGTGGATGATTTGCTATAAGATTAGTTATTAAGGGGTGTAAACGAGCCGAGTCGAGTCGACATGAGTTTTGGACTAATTGAGCTCAGCTCATTTGCTACAGTGTCGAGCTCAAGCTTGGTAAGCTTGAAAATTCAAGTTCGAGTTCAAGTTTGAGCTCGAACTCACAAAAACTCTTCAATTCTTGATTTTTTTGCTTTTCCAATCAAGCTTTTCGAGCTCAAGCTTGAGTGGAGCTAAAATCTAACCGGCTCAAACTTCACTCGACACTATAGCCGAGCCGAGCCGAGCCGAGCCAAGCTCGAGCCGCTCAGGTCGGCTGACACCCCTAGTTCTTATTAAATGCAGCACTGTTAATTTTCAATTAGTATTGAAACTTAAAGCTCTGCAAGAATAATAAAACTTAACTGAGGACCAAAGGATAACGAATAAATAAATATATGGTAAAACAATGTAACGAATGCAATAGAAAGATGTCCAATTTTATGAATTCCCACAGAAAAAAAATCACACTCAACAATCCTAACATATAGCAACAACTTGATACACTTAACAGTATAGCAAAGAAATATATTACAAACATACTCTAATTAAATAGCACCAAAATCTAAAGCATTTTCAATCCTTGAAAACATCTTCCACTACTCAAAACTCCTAGTCATTCTAAAATACAATTCAAAACTATCCAATGCACACCAATTTGGGCACCCTTCTCAAGTAACTTAATTACAAGATGTTTGACTTTGACCAACAACTATGTTCCCATTTTAATGATACAATGGATCAATTTCTAGTAAAAAACTTGTATGAGAAAAACGTTAAAATCTCCAGCACATTGAAGGTAATCATGAAGTCATCGATGTCTTTTTTGCTCAAATCATATTTCAATACTATCTACAACTCACTTGCATAATGAAGCAAACCTGCAAGAGCAAAGAAATAGACCCATAGATAAATAAAGTGATTAAAGGATTTACAAACTCATCCACAGAAAAGGCAAAAGAATGATATTCTAACATCCTGGGAATTGTGTGAATGGTAACATAGATTGGCTCCCCAGACCCATGGCTTAAGAACAATCTCACCACTTAGCTTTGGAAACTGAAAACATCACCTCGATCTTTCAAGTTCAGAAGTTTAATTTAACTAAAGAAGGGTATTAGTATCATTTTGTCTATACATATAACATTAAACATCATAAAACATTCATGCTTACTTTAAAATTAACCAATTATGGGCATAATAAGTGGAGGAAAAAGAGAATAATGTCATATGGATGACATTCTACCTGTCCTACCCTCCAGGACTTTTACTAACGGCTACGTTTACCAATATGTTATCAATTTCCAAATTTCAGAGAAGATGGAATTCAAACATAACTTTATGAGGACAATAAGATGCGGTCCATGCTATTATATAACAACTCTGAATCCAGTTTAACTCCAACCCTTCTTCATGGAAATTTTTTTCTTCAACAGAAAATTTGATATTGAATTTAACTTAAACAGAGAAAGACTGTTGTACTAGGGACTTTTGAATATTGTAAAAGGGATACTGCCATAAAGACACCTGCCATGGCTTTCTAATTCAAAATTGCCTCTACCCCTCCTTAGAATAGGCTTCTTGTCATCTCATATGCCATACAATGAAACATCACCTCCAAAAATAATTTTGTTGAAGAATTCCGGAACAAACAGAATACCTTGTACAAATATATGATAAATAATTTTCTCAAAAATTCAACCTTTAACTTATTTAACATTCCACTTTATATAGATAGTTTATGAAGTTCCCTATCACAAGATTCAGAAGTTTCTACATCAATATGCAGTTCTCATCATTCTCTTTCGATTTCCAGAGACAGGTTACTGAAAGAACACCCCGTGACCTGACTTTTTTCTTCCAGGTTGTGTCTCTCTCCTTAGACTAAGGCTCTTGCATACCCCCCCAAAAAAAAAATCTAAATTGTATAAAATGTAAATCATGGATTTGTGCTCAATAATAGATCACAGATACCAAGTTAATAATAATATATCATCTAATAATACAAAAGGTGATTGAATAGCCTTAACTTCAACATTAATATGTGATATCTATAGCTTTTTAGGGCATTATGCCTAACAATAATTTCCAATAGGAACTAGAAAACCCAGTGAGTCCTAAGGTCCCCAAAATTTTTATAAGCATAATCAAGGGATGAAGACACAACTATATAACACTACAAGGTGTAACAGAAGATAAGTAAGGCAATTGATGGTTTGATCTCAAAACCTAGCTACCTGATGGTGGTAAAGGCTTGTCCTTCACCATTCCAACTCAATCTCTCATTATTTCTCTAGGATTTTGAAGAGTTGAAGTTCTTAGACACCAGATGACTCAAGGTGCAGAGCATTGGGTTGAAGTTCTAGGTAGAAGGAACTCAATTTATGAATCAGATGGATTTTGCTATTAAAGATATAGTTGTAAGCATTTATAAGCTCTCCAATGCTTCAAAAGCATACCAATATAATATGTGTATCAAATAATATCATTAAATATCAAGCAATGAAACAAAGAACTGATGCAAATTCTTTAAAAAAAAAAAATTATGATTTACATAACTGTTAGTAAGAAAATCCTTTATGCATGATTTATGATATACACAATTGTTGGAATAATCAAATTCCATGTATTACTTCTTTCACGTTAGAACATTGATGTGAGCAATGTCTCTCCAATTTTATTGTCTTCCACTAGGATCAAATTATTGTTTCCCATCATACAAAGATGGATCATGTAGGAAAGGCCTAATTCATATCAATGAGTAATCAACCAAGCAAACAATAACAATTGCCACACGACCCTAGCTGAAAATCAGAGTACATAAAATGATCCATAGGAACAGAAGAATATCCAAATGGAACACAATTATGATCGAGTCTCAGAGAAATTACTATTCTGTATGTTACCTCCATCTTCAACCCATTATACAACATTTCAAAATAAACATTACAGCTTAAAACAACTAAGCAAATAATCAGAAACAGAACAAGAACCGACCAAAAACAAAGACAAATAACATATCAAATCATACAGAAACCAAGTTCATTCAACAAAGTCATAGAAAATAGAATGTTTCTCAATTTAACACCAATTCAGTAAAACAACACATACACAGTATAAGCAACTAAACATACATGTGCACTGAATCCAAAAGAGGCGGATTAATACAAGTACCAATCTGTATTAACAGAATTAAATCCCACATGCAAGATTAAGCATAACTAAGAATAAGATTTCACCTGCACAGTTGAATCACTTAGAAACCAAAAGAATTTCAGGCTTCTTCGCCTTGCTAGGCGTATTGACATTGGAAGATGAATTAGCCTCGGTGGTGGCGGCAGCAGAGGCCTTTGCAGCAGCAGCAGCTCGCTCTCTATTATCAAGCTGAATCAAACTCCTGGTCGCTATAATCGCCTGAGGGACCAAATCATGAGAAGCCCTAGCATACAATCGCCGAACAGCAAGGGAAGCCGAGTCCTTAACATCTTGAGAATTCATTGGCCCCAACAAACAATGCCCCAGTATCCTCAAAACAGGCTGCAAAAATTCCCAGGGTAAAGGAATCCTCACTCCCTTCAATTCAACATTTCCATTTGCACCCCCTTTTTCTTCAATTCCCAATTTCTCCAAACCGTCAACAACTAAATCATCAATATTATGGCCATGGCCGTTCACATTTTCACCCTCAAAATCCAACCTATTTTGACAATCACAATCTTGCCCAGCCCACACCGCCGCGAATTTACAAAATTCAAGCTGGGACCAACTCGGCATCTGCGAGATCTGCTTATAATAACAATCAAAAGCGGTTCCAAGAATACAAGCACGCTTCGTTGACTTCACAGCAATCTGCGGCTCCAAAGGGGCCGATAAAACTCCAACGGACGGCCTAGATTTTTTCTCCTTAGCTGACTTAGTGGGCTTGTTTCGAGGAGTGTGGTAGAGTGAGGGTTGAGATAAGTCCGGGATTTGAACGAGCAATGCTTTCCCCCCACGTGACTTGGCTTCAGAGCTATAAATCGCGAGAATTACGGCTTCGAATCCTGAGAGTGAAGGAATTGAAGAGGTTTCGTGGGAATGGAGACGAGAGAGATAAATAGCGGAGAGGAGAGGGACGAAAGAGAGGACGATGAGTCGGAGATGGGAATCGGACGAAAGATACGTGTCGTAAAGCCATTGGCAGAGGGGATCTGAGCCGGAACCGGAGAAAGGAGCCGAAAGGGCGGAAGAGATGAGGGAGAAGGCCTCGGGGGAAGAGAGAAGAGAGAGAGCGGGACGGTCGGAGTCGGCGAGGGAGGAGAGAGAGAAAGAAGAGGAGGAAGAGGAAGAAAGAGAGGAGAAAATGTTGGATAAAGATAGGATTCGAGAGCGGGCCTTGGAGACAGACTCCCACCAAGAGTGCATAGGGTCGTGATCGGAGGCAGTGGTGGTGGCAGTGGCGGTGGTGGTGGGGTGGGGATTAGAGGAAGAGGTGGAGGAGGAGGAAGGGGAGTTGGTAGAGTGGTGGTTGTGGTGGTAATTGACGGTGAAATCCATGGTGGTTGGAGTGGGATTTGGGTGGTGTTCACTAGGGCCGTTGATACTTAAGACTACCGGCTAGTTCAACAGCTTGCACAGTTGTCTTATTCTCTATTATAAGTTATTAATGAATTAATAATATTAATTTTGAACTTTAATTAATAACAAAAAGAGTAACGTCCCACGTCCCAAAATCACTTGAATTATCCCTTTTTAAAAGCCGAATTAAAACTTAACTCCATTTTTAAATTGATTATGGACAACATTATCCTTATTCTAATTATCACACATACACAAATAAGAGAAAATCAAAACGCAACATCATTTTGCCTCCAATTGAAATTCAAAATTTATTCAGTTTCGATTGGACTCAGTTCTCAATGGAGTTTGCTTAGGTATTACTTGGGTTTGTTGTTCTTTTGATTCCAGGATTGGAAGAAGAAAGATTGGGTTTTGGGTTAAAAATTCCTCCAGTTTCCATTGTAAAGGTAAGTGATTCATTTTTTTTTCTCCTTTTTATGACCAGGGGTGTCCGGGCCAATTTATACGCAACTTAACTAATCTCTTAAGACCTTAAAACTAGCAGTTGGATAAGAGCTCTAGTCACCCTTATTAGCAATCATGTGGACTCAAACTTGAGAAATCATGTTAGATCCTCCTCGTACATTCTGTTATACCTAAAAAATCAGGGCTAACGTTAGCCTATGTCAGTAGGCAGCAATCGGAGTTCAGGAAGGTTTTGCACCGCTTGGGAGCTGTCACATCGGTCCATGACAGAAAGAATATGGTTATCACCAACCTGACAGATTCAGGTTTTGTCTATGAATGATTGAGGGCCGCACACCTGTCCAAGCCCTAGGTAATTTGAGGATATTTCCTAAGTTATCAGTCAATGAGAGGCAAGGAAGGACTTGCATGACACCTACCCATTTGCAAATTTGTAATCATCACCTTGAATTCCTCTATTATAAATAAAGGACTCCCTCTCTCATTTTCGGGATTCTGATCCTGAACCCTCATTCTGATTATAATTTTTATTTTTAGAGCAAAGATAACCCACGAGAAAGAGACTAATTTGATATTCTCTCTGAATACTCAGTTATTGTACTTTTGCTCGCTGTTCGCTATACGCGACCTCTTGTAATCTCTCATATATAAAAGAAACAGTGGACGTAGGATTCGCTTTAGGCATCCGAACCACTTTAAAAATCATATATCTCATTTATTATTTAGTCCTTGTATCTGATCATAATCATTCACGTGTAATTTCTAAGAACAACTTAGCACTTTGCACGTGCAAATCGTAGGTGTCAAAATCAAGCATCAACAGTTTGTCGCTAGAAGGAGGGTATGATTTAGTATCTGCTCTTCATCAAGAATCTCTGATCAATCAGCTTTACTCAAGAACAAATGGCTCGTGGTCTTGAAACCGAGCAAACTAACACCAACAACAAAAAGATCCCCCGGGTACAGGATGTTACTTCTCCTGAAGTACCTTCAGTTCCGCAGGGTACCGCGACAGATATCCCCTTGACCTCTCAGTCGACCCAGCTGTGATGAATTACTTAGAAAGGTTCAACAATACTCTCCAAACGGTTAGTCGAAAGCTAGATCATTTGGATCAGGTGGTACCGCCCAATTCCGACAAGGCAGTGCTGCTACCAAAGACGCTTATAGGTCGCGTTAAAGTGCAGAAATGGGTGAAAGCACATGTCGCGCACACTACGACGCGTAAAGACAAGGGAAAGCAGGTGGTAGATAATAGGCCAAAGGGCTTGAAGGGACCAGTAAATACCAGTCGTGAAGCAAGTAAAATACATGTGGCTTTGCGACTTGGTGGTATGTCACATCATGAGCCGTCCCACACCACACCACATCGCATGGCATAGGCACCCCCACAAGAGAGCAAGGTAGGGAGACTCCCATTATCACCGGAATGATGGTTCCGACCATCACTACGAAGGAAATGCCCACCATCCACGGGTCGATTCTAACCACCATGGAGGTCGGGATAACTCCCCTAGTTATTCAGTGCCTTCACATGACTCTAGCTAGCATGTGCCAAGGTATGCCAAAGGCTCCAGCTGAGGCGTAGAAGAGTCCGATTTGAGGTCTTTCCTCAATCGCAATCATGGGGGTAAATCTACTTTACGGAAAGTGATCCCTAGGTAGCTCTGCTTCCTCAGATTGAGGAGTTGCAACGAGCTCTAGATCATCGTAGAGCTCAACAAAATGAGCGAGGGTAGATCACTGAGGCATCTCCCTCTTCTCCGGTAGTGTTGATTGCTCCCTTCCCATCAAGGTTTAAAATGCGCGATATGCGAGCATTCGATAGGAATTCTGATCCGTAAGATCATCTCTATGAGTTTAATGACCTCATGGAGCTTCACCAAGTTTCCAACTTGGTGAAGTGTCGCTGCTTAGCAATGACTCTGATTGCCCATGCCAAGCGCTGGTTTAAATCACTTCCACTAGGATCTATTAACTCCTGGAAACAGATGAGCTCGTTATTTTTGAGACACTTCCAAGCTAATAGGAAGTTCTCAATGCCATTGAGTTATCTAAGTAACATACGATAGGAGATGAATGAATCCCTCCAATCCTATATTGAAAGGTTCCACAAGGAGCTGAATAAGGTGGCTAATACACCCAAAGATTCAGTTTGAACTCTTATTATTGCAAGAGTTCGCCCAGAAATTGACTTGTGGAAGAAACTGCAATCTGAGGACGATATTTCCCTAACTCGCTTCTACAATCTCACCAAGAAATATCTTCAAATTGAGAATTTTGTGGCTGCTCTGAATCGCCATGACCCTAGTCTTCTGACCAATGCTTTTAGTCGGAGGGAGGAAAACTAGGGAGAAAGTAATAGAAAGTTTAGTCACAAATGGGCTAATGACGATTAGAGAAAGGGAAAGAAACAACGATTTGAGCCCAAAAAGTCTTATACTGAGGTCCCTCATCGCAATCACGGCAAGAATCAGTATACTCCGCTGAATGCATCGGTATCAGCTATTCTAGATAAATCAAAAGAAGCTAATCTGCTCAAAGAGCCAAGGCCCATGAATAATCCCTCTTCAGTAAGAAACAACAAGAAATATTGTCGTTATCATCAAAATAATAGGCACTGTACCGATGAATGTCGAGTTCTTAAGCAGGCAATTAAAGACATCATTAAAAAGGGCCACTTCAATGAGTATGTTAATGGTCCTACTCCCGTTCAAGAGAATGATCAAGGGGACCAGGGGAAGAAGCGTCGTGGTCGCAAGGGTCTCTATTTTGTTGGGATCATATTCGAAGGACCACACCTTGTGGGGAATTCTCAAGGTGCTCAGGAGAAGTACTCTCGAGAAGCTTGCCATGACCCCATGAGTGTGATGAACACGGTGTCGCAACCTGCTAAGATGCGTAGAAAGGAGGAGATTACCTTCTTAGAAAAAGATGCAGTACGATTGCATCACCCTCATGAGGATGCACTTGTCATCGCAACTGAAATAAGTAGGTGCGAAAGTCCACAAAATATTGGTGGATAATGTGAGCGCCGTGAACATCCTATTTCAGCGAGCATTTAAGGAAATGCAATTGGACGAGGCAGATTTGAAGCTTGCCTCTATCCCCCTTTATGGTTTTACTGGGGACTGATTTCCAAGGGAACGATTGCACTTCCTGTCACTTTGGGTGAGACCCACGAAGTGACTAGGATGATAGAGTTTCTGGTGGTGGACTATCCATCTGCTTTCAATGGTATATTGGGATGATCTCTACTACGAAACTTTAAGTTGTCACCTCCATCTATCATTTGAAGATGAAGTTTCCAACACCAATGGGGTGTGGGAAGGTCAAAGGGTCTTAGCGTAAGTCTCGCAACTGTTATGTAAGAGTAGTGCAGATGGCATGCAAAAGGAAAGAGAAGCCAATGGGCATCCCCAAGCAGGATATGACGATTAGTAGGATTGAACCACAGCCAGGTCCAGTGGAAGACAACATAGACCCTTGTGTTCAAGAGGAGTATTCCCATAGTAGGCTTGTTGAGACTCTATCTGAGGTATCAATTGACTAGAGTGAGCTGACTCGTGTATTAAGAATCAGAAGTAATCTCACCCCTCAGCTTGTTACAGATCTAATGAGCTTTCTCAAACAGAATATAGATGTTTTTGCATGGACTCATGCTGACATGGTTGGGATCAACCCGAATGTAATATGTCATGCACTCAACATCAGCAGAGAGGTCAGGCCAGTTTCCCAGAGAAGAAGAGTCATGGACCTAGAGCAATATGCTACTCTTAAGATTGAGGTGGATAAGCTCTTCTCAATCAAGTTCATTCGGGAGGCTCATTACCCAAGTTAGGTCGCCAATCTTGTTTTGGTGAAAAAAACCAAATGACAAGTGGCGAACTTGCATTGATTTCATAGATCTCAACAAAGCTTGTCCGAATGACAGTTTCCCTTTGCCAAAATAGATTAACTCATTGATGCCACTTCCAGGTATGAGCTGTTAAGCTTCATGGATGCCTACTCAGGGTATAATCAGTTCCTGATGTACACACTTGATGAAGAGCATATCTCATTCATCACAGATCGATGATTGTACTACTATAAAGTTATGCCCTACGGTTTGAAAAATGTTGGGGCGACCTATCAGCATTTGGTTAACCATATGTTTTTTTAGCAGATAAAAAAATCGATAGAGGTCTATGTCGATGACATGCTGGTCAAGTCGCATATTGTTTCAAATCACATAGCCAATCTCGTAGAGACGTTCAATGTACTCCAAAGATATAGAATGAAATTTAATCCTCTTAAGATTTCATTTGGAGTATCCTTAGGGAAATTCCTAATGTATATGGTTAACCATCGGGGGATTGAAGTCAACCCCGAAAAGATCCAAGCTCTCCTAGATATGAAAAGTCTTATCAATCGAAAGCAAGTTCAGAGCTTGAATGGGAGAATAGTTGCTCTCAGTCGCTTCATATCGAGAGCAACAGATAGTTGTTTGCCATTCTTCAATGTACTCAGGGCCGATAAGAAATTTGAATGGACTTCAGATTGTGAATGAGCCTTCCAGAGCATAAAAAAGCATCGTGGAAAGCCA